TCCCTCCGCTTACCCGCAGCTCCGACCACTGGCTCGCGCTACCCAGGTCTGCGCACGCCGGGGTGGCTTCAGCCCAGACCTGGGCCGCCGGCGGAGAAGGAGTTAACTGACAGGGGCGAGGAGGAGCCCGGGGAGGAAGGAAGGATATTGCCGTAATTCTGAAAGTTTTTTTCCTTCCTCTCTTCCCCTCGCAGAGGTGAGTGCCGGGCTCGGCGCTCTGCTCCTGGAGCTCCCGCGGGACTGCCTGGGGACAGGGACTGCTGTGGCGCTCGGCCCTCCACTGCGGACCTCTCCTGAGTGGGTGCGCCGAGTCATGGAGGGCGCAGAGCTGGCCGGGAAGATCCTTTCCACCTGGCTGACGCTGGTTCTCGGCTTCATCCTTCTGCCTTCGGTCTTCGGAGTGTCTCTGGGCATCTCCGAGATCTACATGAAGATCCTGGTGAAAACTTTAGAGGTGAGTGCCGGGAGGGATGCAGCCAGCCCCACGCCGCTGCGGGCTCAGAACCCTGGGGTCCAGCTCTCAAGGTCAGTGGTCGCGGGTCAGGGGTGTGTGTGCGCGCGTGTGCATGCGTGCGTGCATTTCTGTTCCTTGCCCGCGGCAGTGCGAAAGTCAGCATCTCGGCGGCTTTCGCGGACCTGGAGGGATCTGGGCTGAAACCACTGGACCACTGTTGTTCCTCTGGTCGGAAGCAAAAATCACTCCATTCCCTGAGCATCGTTATTATTTTACTGATTATAATAACAATGCGACCAACTTTTTGTATCAGAGGATTTGCTTATATCCATTATGCAGTGCAGTTTCCGCTTCACCCGCTTGTTTTTACAGCCCCAGGTTTCAGAGGTCCTTTTGTGTACTCAGGCATCCTGTTCAGAAAGGCATCGTGTTCTTCTTTATGCCCAAGATAAGAGACCAATTCCTGGATGGCAGAAAGAAATCGTATTTTATTTTAGTGGAGTCATGGAATTTTATCTAACTAACAGCACTTGAAATGCCATTGAAAAGTATATATTCTTTGACCTCAGGTCTCCCTACCCTCCTGTTTCCAAATTCTGCAAAGAAAAATGTTAGATGGAAGTGGGCCTGGTAGAGAACAACTGCAGCTTACTCTTAGGGTTTTATTAAGTGTCAAAAGGCTGGGTAGGGTAGGGAGGGCAAGTGCTATCCCCCTTTTACAGAGAGGGAAACTGAGAGTCAGAGATAAGTGGTTTGTTTGAATTAACTGTTAGAAGCAGGAGTCTTTTTTTTTTAAAAAAATTGTATGTATATAATTTATATCTACTTGTTTCAAAAATATTTATATGTATATATTATATATACTTTTTTTTAATATAAGAGACAGTGTCTTGCTATCTTGGCCAGGCTGGTCTTGATCTCCTGGCCTCAAGCAGTCTTCCTGCCTTTGCCTCCCAAAGTGCTGGGATTACAGGTGTGAGCCCCACGCCTGGCCAGAAACAGGAGTCTTAACTGAGAAGAGGCCCTACAGCCTAGTGGTTAGGAGTAGAGATCCTGGATACAGGTTTGCTTAGATTTGGTACCAAAATTGTAGCTCTGTTTCTCAAAATGTGACCTTAAGGAGGTCATCTACTCTTGTGCCTCGTTTTCTTTATCTATAAAATAGGAGTAACAATAACTCCTATTTCCACAGGGTTGTTCAAATAAGTTAAAATGTATCAAGCACCTTAGAAGGCTGCCTGCATCGACTATATGAATGTTTGTTGCTATTAAAAGAATAATATGATTACTGAGATTCTAGCATTCCACAGTGCCTTCTTATAAGTTTGGTTCCCATTTTTGTGACCTTATTTTCTCTCTGCCCTTAGGATGTGGCTTTATCTGCTCTTCTTCCTCAGCTAATTGAGTGGCTCCCAGGTATACATCTCTAACCCACTGGACACTGTCTTGTACCTGCTAGCCTCCTGTATTGCCCTAGACTCTCGTTTGTGGCTATTTCTTTGCCTAGTCTTTGAAGTTGTATGTGATTCTTCATTCTCAGTGCTCATGCTTTTAAAGTTTTATTGTTTCTACTTGGGAGCTATTTCTGTTTTGAACTCTTACTGACTTTACATTGTGAGCTTGATCACATTATGCTGTGAATTTCTTAGCTGCCTGCTACTGTTAGACCTTCTTCAGAATCCTCTCCCATAGCAGATGATCCTCTTCAGCTGGTGTTCCGTCTTTCTCTGAACTCTGAAATGATTGAACTGTTCTCCCATACAGTAATGTCTTTTGGAATTTATACCCTGTTTAAGAATGGTTTAAGGTAAATCATACCCACTGGCTTCCAGGGGCTCACTCCTGTTTTTCTTTAGTGACTCAAGGTACAGCTAAGGGCAGAGGCCAGCTAGTTGCTGTCAACCTGGCAAATTATTGCACCTGATAGGATGATCTCCAGTCCAGGATCTGACTTTCAGTTTGACAGGGCCACAGATTTTAATTTTTGTCCTTCTGCGCGACTCCAGAGCTGAACTCCTTGTCAATCAAACTGTCAAGAATGCCAGTTTTCTAATTCTGGTGGGAGAAACTAGATAGCTTGGAAACTAGGTAGGTGACACATAAGGAACCCACCCTGTCTGCTGAGACTAAGTTATTAGGTCAAAGAGGTGCTTGATGTTTGTGGAATTTGAATACAGATTCATTGTGTGAGCCAGCTCTGATTTGTTGGCTGTGACTGCCCGGAACTCCTATGGGAGCATCTGAGCTCATCAGGAAGGAGAGCTGTGATCCCATAGTGATTTCTGCTTTAGGTGCAGGAGAACAGTAACCCAGGATCTTCTATCCTTCAACTAGAACAGTGTTAGATGTTTCAAAGACATTTCTGTTAGACTGGGGTTAATATGGTGGACTGCTTTTCTCAACTATAGGAATAATTCCTTAAGGGATTATGTTGATGTTTAGCATGAGAAAATCTTCAGTGCTGGACAAATACACTGCCTTTTTGTAGATTGCATTCAAGGCCCAGCCCTTGTATCACTCCTTGGTAAATTCTTAATTGATTTAGTTGTTTCTTTCTTTACATTTCATTCC